TATTTTTTCATACCGGTATATGTAAAAATTGCTTGAAAACCAGTTTTAACGATGTCCAATTCGTGTTTAAATATTAAAATATTTTAAATAGAGTGTTTACAGGGGCACGTATCACGTTGGGGTACGGGATCTGACCCCCAAGCGTCTGTGTTCTCAAGGACATGTCAGCCATCAGTTGTAGACATATATCTGCGCAGGCATCACTGCAACTAAATTCATTGACCAACAGTATTCTTGGAAAAACACTGAATTTACAAGAATACTGTTGGTAAAAGTTAACAGATCTGACTCAACTGGTTGTCTGTAGTCAGATTTTCCATATACTTCCGGCACAGTGTAAACTATTTCTATTGCAAAAAAGCAAATTAGCAATTGGCAAATAAGCAAATACGTAAACCAGCGGTTAACAAATAAGCAAATTAATAATTCAGCAATTGGCAAAAAAGCAAATTTGTCGTTAAGCCTATCAGCCATTGGCAAATAAGCAAATCGGCAATTAGCAAATAAGCAATTCAGCAATTGGCAAATAAGCAAATTGGCATGTCCCTACCGGCATTCCATAGTAGAGTGTATTTACTCGTTTTTGCCAATTCGTATAGCTTGGTTATGTCGTAAGGCTTGCAATCTCGAAATTGTGGGTTCGATTACCGGACTGGCCAACTTAAATTACTGAAACAGTCTTTCTGGGAGGTCCCGTGTATGAGTGCTTAAACACCTGGCACGTTAAAGGACGTAAAAGCTTCTAGAATCTTGCACTTTCCATAAAAATCTATAATGACAAAACATCATCTGGAGGACTCGTCCATATGGGCAACTGGTGGCGAGTTTAGACTCATATATATTCATATATACACTCGTTTTTGACAGTTGATTTTCATTGTCGGTTTTTTTTGTCACCTAAATCAGGTACGTATATTAACATTAATATACGTACCTGCCTAAATTTATCATTATGCATTTGATTTAGACAGAAAAAAAGTTATTTATGACTAGTAATTTTTCAACTTAACGTTATTTCACAGACAGGAAAACGTAGATAATTTTTTAAGTCCCATAACTAATTTAATATAGATCCATATAGAACAACGACAACGACGTGTTTCTTTGTTATCAACAGATACGTACACAGCTCTACACACAGTCTCGAGGGATCAAGAATTATTGATGGACGATGTTAGTCTAAAGTCTGTAAAATGAGCCCAATATTCCAAGGCTTTCAAGCTGACTAGGTCAAAGATTGTTGTATAACCATGATAACGTCTACTCTCTCTAGCTGTCTTCCCCTCGTTACGTACAAGCTACTGAGAGGCACAGGGCATCGGTAAAAAATGATAACCGAAGCGGACAAGCTGCAGATGTTCTGACTAAAGCCGAATGGAGCGGTACGAACCCTGCCTATACCATAGGCACTTGGTTTCGGGATAAAGACCCTTTTTGAGAGGTTTTTAGTACTCAAATTTAATTGAATGTAACGATTTTTAACGTGAGTAGATGTCTCTATTCTAAAAACGTCATTTTCCGGGTATAGATGGATACCGAAAATAAGCTATTTTCGCGAAAATAAGATCGCGGCTACGAAAATAAGATTTATTTTTGAAATAGTGCATTTATCTGTTTGAATAATTATGTAATAATATACTTATGCATTCATTGAATGATTTTACAGCAAATTAAAATTTCAGAACAAAAAAAATATTTTAAAAAGTGAAGTTTGAGCCGAAAATACTCTCACGAAAATAGCTCAAATTGCCGTGTAAAGCGAAAATAAGATCGGGTCTACGAAAATAAGATTTATATTTGATATAATGTATTTAAAACGTATTTTTGCTGTTAATAATTGATTTGTTTGAATGAAATAATAAATTTCAGAACCAAAAAAAAAAATTTAAATGTGAAGTTTGAGCCCAAAATACCATCGTATGAAAATAGCTCAAATTGCCGTGTAAAGCGAAAATAAGATCGGGTCTACGAAAATAAGATTTATTTTTGATATAATGTATTTAAACGTATTTTTTGGTGTTATCAAATGATTTGTATGAATGAAATAATAAAGATTGAAATGTTTTGTTATGAAAAATAAGACGTCTGTGCGGCAAATATGGTACATATAAATCCTTGGGAAAATATTTCAAATTTAGTATAGAAAGAACGCATTCATGAACATATAACCAAAATTGCGTCTACGAAAATATAGGCAATATAAGATTTACATGGTTCATAACTTATATTAAAAAATAGTATTAACTTTATTTTTAATGATTTTGCAAATAAATTTTAAGAATTAAATGTTCTCTTATAAGATAAGAAATGTTTGTGGTGAAAAAGTATCAAAATAAAAGAAAGAACAAGTGCAAAAATAACCTGAAACAACGACTACGAAAATAAGATCTAAATCTATATAAGAATATGTACTGTACGAAAATAACATCTAAACAGTACTCTACGAAAATAAGATCTGTAAGGAAATAAAAGCTGTATGAAAATAATGTTAATACGAAAATAAGGTTACGAAAATAAGATCTATTAGTAAATAAGGTCCAATTAAAACCTGAATGAATTGATATTTATTTGAAAATAAAACCTGTATGGAAATACTATATGTACGAAAATAAGATTCTATTGAAAATAAATTTATACGAAAATAAGATCTGTATGAAAATAATGTCTGTATTCGATTTTTACAAATGTAAGATCTGTGAAATGAAAATAATATCCTTACAAAAAAAAGATACATATGAATATAAGATATGTAAAAAATACTACCTGTATGAAAATACTATATATACGAAAATAAGATCCTATAGGAAATGTGATCTATACGAAAAAAATAAGATCTGTAAGAAAATAATACCACGAATATAAGATCAATACGAAAATAAGATATGTATGAACATAATGTCTGTTTTCGAATAAGATTTATACGAAAATAAGATCTGTACGAAAATAACATCTGTACGAAAATAATGTGTGTATAGGAATAAGATTTACTCGAAAATAATATTTATATGATAATAATATCTGGATCAGAATGATGTGAAAAACGACTCTATATGAAAATGACTGTCTTTATAAAATAAAATCTTTAACGAAAATAAGATCTGTGTATAAATATATCTGTATGATAACAAAAATCTGTAAAAAAAATAAGATATCTATATTTTGATATGGTGACTGTGATAAATCGCCAATAAACACCTTTAATGATGGGCTTTAATAAGTGTGTGTCAATTACGATAAGTGCGAAAATCCAATAATCCAATCATCGTATTAGCGCATTGATTGCTGCCGATAGCCATGTGCACGTGTTATACGTTGTATAATTTTTTCCTTCTCTCAAATAAAAAGATCTTGTCCGTGCATTATCTAATTAAAGCACTAAAGCAATAAAGTTATATACTGATCTTTTACTAAATGTAGATATTATTTTTATATTACACGAATTTTAAATTATCTTTTATTTTGGTATAAATCATTTCCATATTGATATTTTATTTTCATATAGCTAGATATCTTATTGTTTATAGATTTTGATCTTTTTTTCGTATCATTCTAACACAGATATTATGTTCTTACAAATACATTTGTTTTATTTTCGTATTTCATATTCACAGGCCTTATAAAAATATTTGTAAAAAATCTTAGTTGAAAAAATTATTTTCATACAGATCTTATTTTCGTGCAGATATATCAATTCATACAGTAATTTTTATACAGATCATATTTTCGTATAGATCACATTTTCAATAGGATCTTATTTTCGTACATATAGTATTTTCATGCAGGTATTTTTTTTAACGTATCTCATCTTCGTATATATATCTTATTTTGACAAAAATCATATTTTCAATTAGATCTTGTTTTCGTACAAATATCAATTCATACAGGTTTTAATTGTTTACAGATCTTGTTTTCGTATAAATCATCATGATTTTCAATTGGATCTTATTTTCGTGCAAGTATAAGTATTTTCATACATATATTATTTTCATACAGGTATTATTTACTAAGAGGTCTTATTTTCGTATAACCTTTTTTTCGTATGTACATAATGTTCATTCTTACAGATCTTATTTTCGTAGAGTATTGTATAGATTTTCTTTTTGTATATATTCTATATACAGTAGATCTTATTCTTGTAGTAGTTGTTTCTGGTGGGTTTTTTTCGCACTAGTTAATTCTTGCTTTTATTTTGATGGTTTCTCACTCCACAGTGACTAGCTTTTCTTGTTTTATAAGAGAAAATTTACTTTTGCAATTAATACAATTTTATAAGTTATGATCTTATATTCGTAGTCGCCATCTTGGGTTATTTTCGCATGCCTTCTTTCTATACTATTTGGGATATTTACCATATTTACCGAACAAACGTTTAATATTTCATTACAAAATATTTCATTTTTTATAATTTTATTCATACAAATCATTTAATAACAACAAAAATGCATTTTAATGCATAATATTAAAAAATAAATCTTATTTTCGCAGACCCGATCTTATTTTCGCTCACACGGCGATTTGAGCTATATTCGTACGTATGTATTTTCGGCTCAAACTGTACTTTTTTAGATATTTTTTTGGTTCTGAAATTTTAATTTGCTGTAAAATCACCCAAGGAATGCATAAATATATAACTTACATAATTATTTAATTAGATAAATGCATTATTTCAAAAATAAATCTTATTTTCGTAGCGATATCTTATTTTCGCGAAAATAGCTTATTTTCGGTATCCATCTATATATATACCGTCATTTTCCCGATGTTATCATTTTAGTAACATCGGAAAAATGACGTTTTTCTACATTAAAAATCGTTACATTCAATCAAATTTGAGGTTTTTATCTCGATATTTAGACATACTGGCCTATGGCCTATACAGATATGTATTTACCTACCTGGCAATATTCAAATTTAGTGGTCTCGTATTAACAATCCCTTATTTAGTGGTTCATGCTCTAAATATGGATAATACGGAAGAGATATTAATTTGCTTATACACACGATTTTCAGCCGGTGCCCGTTCAGCAAATCAGCTGTTGTCAAAAGGTATATTTTGCGTCTATTTTGGTTATTGACCTATTATATACCTTACAATTAATGGAAGGCATTTTCGTACACTTGTATCTAACTGGAACATATTTTGCATGAACGCTCATAAGCGATAAATATGGACTAATTGGTGCAGAACTAGACTAGTAATCGGATAGCTCAGTTAAAAATTTAATTTACAATGTAAATAAGTTGCCAATAAATGCACTTGTGTGTAAGGAAATATATGTTTTGATTGATCCAGAACTACTGGAATGACAAGTTGTTTAGAAATTATGTAACGTGCACGGACTAGCTGTTATATATATAATTTTTCTTGCTACTTTGCCAGTTGATTGGTTACAAATGATTTATTCAAACTTTGGAATCAAGTTTAATTAACTATTGTTTATAACAGGAACATGCCTTTATAGTTGATATGCTTCACATGAACTTTATATAAAAATTGAGGTGACACTATTAGGCTATTTAATATATAGAAAACCACTTGGATATTGAGTTTTCAATACTTTAGTAATAACAATTACACCTAACGCAGTGTTAAATTTGTGCAATTGATATATTTCGTAAAATAGTGCAAGATTCCAAGTAAGTAATTTAAAATATTAATTAATTATTTCTGTGATGTTGACACTTTGGCAGCTGGGCAGAGACTGACTGTCCGCAGCTTTGAGCTCTATTTATACTCAATAATGTAGTTATATTTAAAGATCGTTTACTGAAGTTGGAGAAATCAAGCATCATAGAGATATTGATAATGGGTTGAATATTGGAACAAATGGCATTGAGTTCGAATGATTTTAAGGACAAATTGTTCTGATATTTTAGAAATAATAAAAATATGCCTGTTATATCAAATAATTGCTACGAATAAGTTGTTAAATCTAATCGTTTAATTTTTATGTATTAATTTATAAAAGATAAAACTCTACTTTTAAACACAAGACAGATAACATATTAGTTTACAATTTAACTTTGCGACAATTTAGGTAATCAAACCACTAAATATCATTTAAGAATCTAGGCAGAAGAGAACAATCGTCACAATTAGATAACCTTTGTTTTAAATGAAGGCTTTAATATTTTCAAATGACTTTTTCAGTAGACACTGATTAAACTTTGTCTAATGTTTTGAAATAATTAATTTGATTTTTTTGCATGTTGATTTCTATTTTTTCTTCATCAGTATTTGATGTAAAGAAAACTTTGGTAGGCAGTGTGGCAATTCTGTGATGTTTAGAAAAGAAAAAAAACACCTGTTAATTTTAGATTATGACATAGGAATGAATGTTACAAACTAAAGCACTCCAAAATATTGCAAAAAATAATGCTTTTCATAATGTGGTTCAGATTGCCTACACTGACTGTATTTATATGCTGAATATGGAGATGGGGTGTGAGCTACAAATGCCTTACAGTCCAAATTCAAATGTGGCCCACAGCTTTACCATCTTCAAATGAGGTGTGCTTTGAATATGGGAACCAGCAAATTCTTGAATGGTTCTGACTATAGCCAGGCTTGTTCTCACAGACACACTCAAAATTCAACACATTTGAAAAGGACAAAGAACAACTTAAACATGAGGGGAATTATCAATATAATTGCTTCTACTTTGAAGATAAGTGTGGTGATTATTTGCTTTGACAGGTTGGTTTCTAACAGTATGTGTTCTTAAAAGAAGATTGAGGCATAACAATTGTTGATAGTCAAACAATGGCTATGGCTAGTATGGGAACAGAATTCACAGCTGAAAATGTGGAAAAGGTATATTTCCGATTAATTTTGACATTTATTTTAGCTTGATTGTGATGAAAGTGTTGAACAGTTACTGCTCTTATGCCTGTTTCCTTGACAAACCAGAAATGATGATAAATAAAAAAAAATGGGCATGAATGTGAGGAAAGAAGGGCTCAAACAAACATATTATATACCTCTCAGTCACCTCTGTTGTGTTTGATAACCAGCATTTTTTTTGTGGATATTAACTTCTGTCAGTTGATTTTTTAATTGACATTCATTTTTGCATTTCATTTTGAAACAAATTAAAAGGACTCCACTGAAGTTTTTTGACATGACAGAACTTGAAATAACAGTTGTTGTTGTCAATTTGATTACTACAGGGAGAAATGCAACTTTAATAGATTATGTTCACAGATTTCAAGGTTATGATGTTAAACATGTGTGCATTGCATTGTTATCAATGATAAATTCTAATCTTTGATCTATCATACTTGTAGGCAGTAAACAACTTTTATTGTAACGCTGCAGTACAGCAGGAAGTTCACCAGTGGTTGACAGCAGCTCAAGTCTCACCAGCAGCATGGTCATTCTGCTGGCAACTACTAGTGCCAGATAAGGTAAATTTGTAATGAAATCAATTATATTGAACTATTTATTTTGTCTTGAAAGTTTGGTCCGTAAGGCAAACACTGATACCAGAAATATAGTGAAAAATCAGCAGACTATAAGGAAAATCAGTAGTAGTCTGTCATGTTTGTAGGATTTATATATGAGCCGTGTCATGACAAAACCAACATAATTGGTTTGCGACCAGCATGGATCCAGACCAGCCTGCGCAGTCTGATCAGGATCCATGCTGTTCGCTTATCAACTCTATTACAAGTGAAGAAACTGATAGCGAACAGCATGGATCCTGATCAGACTGCGCGGATGCGCAGGCTGGTCTGGATCCATGCTGGTCGCAAACCCATTATGTTGTTTTGTCATGACACGGCTCATATGTTTCTTTGTTTGTATTTGATATTTTAAGTTTTGTGATTTAAGCTTCTAACTTTCTTTTGTTTCACTGATAAAGAATCTTAAAACATAGGTTTGAATTTGAATGTTGGAATTTTTTATTTTTATTATTGAAAATATGTGAATTTAAGGCATGGCAAAATTACTGTTTGTTCAGTGTGTCAAAATTTCACGCCAAGGAAATTTAATGAAAAGACAGTATGCTGGTGTTATATTTCATTATATTCTCCATGGCAGTTCTGGTGTCACCACATATTATATTTTACATTGTATGTTTTCTTGAGATCTTATATTTACATCTTCTGATGATTTGATACATGTATGTAACATTGTATATATTCTGGAGACTGATATTTTATTGGATATATTTTCTGGAGAGCTTATACTTTATATTTCCTGTAGTATTATCTTTTCTAAAGCTCTTATATTTTATATTTTCTGGAGATCTGATATTTTTCCATTCTTATAATATTTAATATTTCCAGGGCCTACAGGTGCAGTATTTTGGTGCCAGCTGTTTACATGTTAAGATAAGCAGATACTGGTAAGAACACATGACATATATCCTCTTATAATATTGGGGGGATTGAGAGCTGTAGAAGTGTAACTTGTTTGACATGAAGAAAAAGTTACAAATATTTTGCACCAAACTGTCAATTTATACAATTAGTTTGAGTGTACACATATGTTTTGACAGTATTGAGAACTTTAGTCTAGCAATGATAACTTGCTTAGCTGAGTTAATGAAAACTTGCTTAGCTAAGTTAATGAAAACTTGCTTAGCTGAGTTAATGATAACTTGCTTACCTGAGTCAAAGACCCATTAAAGCAGCATACCTCAGATTCATGCCAATTTTCATGAAAATTTTGAAACTGTATCAAGAAGTGAAATATTGTCAAGTGAACATAAAAGTAATTTACACATTGCAATCAAAATTCCCAAATAACAGTAAAAATATGCAAAAAAAACTCTTAACCCTGCATTAGTCACCCAGTAGAAATATGGTGATAATTACTGCAAAATCAGTCATTCATTGCATATAACATGTAAATAATTACTTGAATTGTGAATATTTTTACTTTTCTTAAAATCTATGTACATTTTTCTAAAAGTTGATTTCCTTGATATTTATTGACTTATCTTTAGGCATGCAGCTTTAAGCCTCAGAAATGACAAATATTTTTTCTTTTTTAGGAAATGCAAACATGTGTTAAATAATGCTTTAATAATTGATTCAAATTGTGTTAAATAATGCTTTAGTAATTGATTCAAATTTTGCAAAGGACTTTGGATTCTTTCATGGATGCTTTCAACCTAGTAAGGAAAGTCTCTGATTCTATAAGTTTGCCCACTCTTGTCAGAAATAAGCACAGAGGGGCACCTGAGGTTTTCCAGCACCAGTAAAGCTAGACATCCAGCAAATCATCACCTTAGTGCAGTAACCGGTGAACTCTTGATGTAATTTATTGAGAGTTCACCGGATACTGCACTTAAATGATAAAATGGCCTTTATTATGTTGGTGTGATGTAAAACACAACAAAATATTAGTCATTAAGAAGGCATATGTTACATTTTCAGGAATGAAATACCAGCTGACCAGTTTGAATCTCTACGAAGCCGCATCCTTGAGCAAATTGTAAACTCTGCGACCGGACCAAAACTTTATCCTTACCAGACTATGTGTTGCCAGTAAGTAGTGGTGCATTAAACATTTTATAATAGTGAACATTTAAAGCTGGAAAAGCCCAGATTTTAGTTGAAATAAAGGTTAAACTGTTGTACTGAACTAAAGTGAAGTGATAAAAGAAGGTGTTATCATGTTACATTGTATGTTGTAATAATACATTTATAACAGAATTATGTATGCCCAGTGATGTATGATATACTTATCTTTATTTAAGTTTAATACTAGCAGATCATTATTTTGGTATGATATATGTCTATTTCAGTAGAATGTATGATTATTTTATTATTTTTAATGTCTATTTCAATATGACATAAATCATACCAATTTCAGTAAAGTATATAAATACCATGTCTTTTTCAGTATGATGTTTGTCTATTTTGATATGATCATTGTCTATTTTAATATGATGTTTGTCTATTTCATTGTGTTTTTGTCTGTTTTGGTGTGGTAGATGCCTATTTTAGTAAGATATATGATGATTTCAGTATGGTATTTGCCTTGCCTATTTCAGTATGATATTTGACTATTTCAGGATGATATTTGCCTATTTTAGGATGATATTTGCCTATTTCAGTATGATATTTGCCTATTTCAGGACGATATTTGCATATTTCAGGATGATATTTGCATATATCAGTATATTTGCCTATTTCAGTATTTGTATATTTCAATATATTTGCCTATTTTTAGTTTGATATTTGCCTATTTCAGTATAATATTTGACTATTTTAGGATGATATTTGCATATTTCAGTTTATTTGCCTATTTTTAGTTTGATATTTGCCTATTTAAAACCCCTTATTTTAACAAAAATCGCAGAATATTAAGCCCGCAGAAATAAGTACTTATATGGTATTTGCCTATTTTTAGTTTGATATTTGCCTATTTCAGTAAGATATATGACTATTTAAGTATGATATTTTTCTATTTCAGTTATCATCATTAGCCCTCCACTCCATGCCTCAAACATGGTCCAACCCAGTTGACTCCCTCATCATTATGTTCCAAGATGACTCATCCCCTCTTAATGTAAGTAAGGATAACAAATATATGTTGGCTAAGTATATGTTTAATATGGCAGTCACAATATTTAACAAATCTTAGTTAATAAGAAAATTTTGATCAAGTTATTACAATGTACTTAGAATGACTGGAATCACATAGCAGCACCAGCAGTTTGATTAACAGTTTTCGGAAAACCGTTTCAGCCACACAAACACTGTTGGCCAGTAAATGTGTATCAAGAATATTGTCTCGTGCCAATTGTGTTGTGTAGCTTTGTGATTAGAATGAGGATTAAAGTATTTTCAGTTGTTCTTTTGCTTTACATCTGGTTTAACATTAGGATTTCACATGCACTCGCTCTGTAGTATACACATAGGTATTGTTGCAATGTATATTTGCGAATGAGCTAATATTTAAAATGTTTTCAATATTATTCATTCATAACAAATATTTCACCAGTATAGAGCCAGGCCAGCCTGCACCTCCATGCAATCTGACCAGGCTCTATACTGTTGGCTGATAAACTTTAATATTCACATTAATCTCCCGGACAGTTCCAAATGTGCAAGTGGGACAAGTCCATTTAATATTCAGCATGTTCAGGGTTAAATGAAGTTATGTGACCTATACAGAAGTGTTTACAATAATATATTTCAGTCCACACAGAGATGTAATGTTTTGCTAGAAATCTTCACTGTCCTTCCAGAAGAGGTATGTTTTGATACTTTACCTGCAGGAATTTTTTTATCTTGTTTTGCCTACTTAAATACATGTACATGTATTTTGGGCTTACGGTTAAATCTACATTCATTCCCTTTAAACCTGACAGTATACAGGTTTTAATGTCTTTATCAAGCAAAGCATGCTGGGATATTTTGATTCAACTGTAACATTGTTGATTTGGCAAATTTAGATTATATATTATAAAGTTACCATCCTAGTCTGCAAATAGTATTGGTTTTATGATGATTTTAATAAAGTTGTTTTATTTTATAGTTTTATAGTATGAACCTGACCAATAGCAGAAGATCAGAACTGCGCTTTGAACTTACACAAAATATGACCAAAAGTAAGTAGGTTTTTATTTATTTTCACAAAAAATTAGGGCTGGGAACGAATGAGGAAATTGATGTTCAAATAATCGTTTTCCATAGTCGAATATATAGAGGATATTTGTTTGTTTCAGTGTAAGATCGAAAAATATTTCACCGAGTGAACACCAGATGCAATATTTTCCACGAGTGGCGTAGCCACGAGTGAAAATATAATAGCTGGGGTTCACGAGTGAAATATTATTTGATCTTACATGTAAAACAAACAAATTTTCTGTTTATATTATGATTTTTTAACGATTTTTACACCATTTTACTGATTTTTGCCGCGTAACGTCATGCTCTTATATTCATGACGTCATCAAATAATGACGTCACAATGTTGAAGCAAAATATAATTCCATGATTATTTTTAGATTTTAGATGTTTTTCAGCACAACGTTCGTAAATATTTACGAACTACAGTTATCACGTACATTTTTTATTATGATTGACTACAAAAAAAAAAACATTCATTAATGATAAATATTTTATTTTTACGCCAAATATAGTTCGGCTACTGTGAAATTATATTTGGTAATCATTACTGTGAAATTATCAGAATATAATTAACCGTTATAATTCAGTAATCTACTGCAAAACATGTAATAAATTCGAATATTCTTTTTTTACAACATTTGTTCCAATATTTCTCTTTGTCGTATACATATCCGCAATTGAATATCCTCAATTGATTGCGTCGGATACTATACTTCTTTAATATGCTTGTAATAATCGACGATTCAAAATACCTTTGTAACTACGTCAAAGTTTTTAAAAAATGTTTATGTATTGTAAATCGACATATATATTTACAATTTGAAATAAATTCATAATTTGATTGCCTTTTGCTCAGTAAATCCTATTTGTCTTATTAACAGGAGGTAACTCACGTGACTTGATTGACAGTAATATGAATTATCGTAGCCTCTTAGACCCAATAACAAATAATTATATTGAAACTTAACTTGTATTAAATATTTTTTTATTTATTTATAACTTTAAATAAGGTTTAAAATATTCTTAAAATAAATTTAGCTATAACGCAGTAAATATCACACGGAGTGTAATATCTACAGTATAAATATATTCTGACGGAATATAGACACTTCCCATGCTTTCGTAACCGCCGAAAAATGCGTGCCGATTTATTCTTCTTCACAAAATTTAAGACAATTATTGATGAATCGGAAAGATTATAGGACAGAAAACAATAAATAAGATTATTAAAATTGGAAAAATACATTCTAAACTGTTTAACAGGTAAATTGCAAACTGTAAAACGGGTGCCCTTTTGATCAACTAGACCCCAAAGTTTTCACAGTTAATTGGCGATAATCCCTGACACCCGTCATACAAACGTGTCAACACCTGGTCAAGTAAATGTCAATGGTTTAATTTACAATCTTAATTGAAATTTGAAAGAAATAACAAAACAAAAAAAAGTTCGAATCTTCGTATGCGTTTTTCAATGTTCGAATATTCGGTAGTGTTTCGAATATTCGAATATAATTCCCGGCCCTACAAAAAATACTTCACAGTTCTAAATTCAAAGCATTTAATAAGTTTAGCAAAGATAAGATTAATTAAATTTTTTATCGGTCAATTTCAAGACAAGTTGTAGTCCAAGAGACTTTTATAAAAATGATATGGTTAATATATGTAAAGCTGCATGCCTCTAGATAAGCCAACATGTTTCAAGAAAATTAAACTTGAGAAAATATGTACACAACTTTTAAGAAAAGTGAAAATATTAAAGATTTAAGTATAATTATTAACATTTTATGTGTGATAAATGACTGATTTTGCAGTATTTATCACAATATTCCTACGTGACTAACACATTAAGGGCTATTTTTGCATATTTTAACCTCTGTTTGGTAATTTATGTACACTGCTCATAGATAGATAAGTTTATTTCTAGTTTTAGCCTTACTGACTAACTTGATGAGCCCGAACTCACCAAGTGATGTGTACGAGCATGCACTCAAATGTTTTGGGAGCTGGGTGGATTTTGGTATTCCAATGAACGAAGCTGAACAGATAATTATACAGGTTTTCCAAAGCCTCAACAGTCCACATCTGTACGATTCTGCTGTAGACACTCTCGTTAAAGTCTTCTCACATCCAGATTCTCACAGGTTCAGTTTTTTCAATTGTTTTATTTATACTTTACAAATTTTACAACTGTCTGCAAGTGCATAGCCGGCAAAATTTGATTATGACTTACTTGTCCATTATTATCTAAAGCCTTTCTCAACTTGTCCGTATGATATTTGTATAGTAAATTCTTGAAAATTTCCACTTGTCCGTACAGGCTGCAGGACAACATGAACAAAACGGGTAATTGATTTTGCCGCCCCTGTTAAACCTTGTTAGCTTGGCCATTCTAAGACACATAACCATTTAGAGTATTTTGATTGAAATCATCCTATTTGTTGATTTCTGCATATTATTATCGAGGCTCTTGTTTTATTATCAAGCACTGAGAATAGGCGAGGGCACTGTCTGATCGACAGCTATTGTTTCTGTTTTGTAATTGTGACAAAAACACATGTTTTGTCTATTGAAATTCTTCATAATTTAGTATATGTGAGAATAACAACATAAATTAAAAACAAGAATTATAGTAGAATGTAATTTTTTTATTTGACCATTTTTTCTTTATTATCTATAAAATGATTTTTAGTGACTTTGTTGAGTATGTAATAGATGGAATAAAATAGTATATACATGTTTAGTACTCTTGTACTTATATACAGTGAGCATTATTGCACACAAATTACAAGTTCTTTTTTTACTGTGTTACAGATTTCCATATACCATACAGAAGTTGCTTCCCTTGGTCTTACAGTTACAAGGAATGCTCAATTCAGCCACAAATGACCATGATATGGTATGTTGATATGTTTGTTGGCTTGTTGTTATCATATAAAAAAATGATACTGCACATAAACATGATGTATTGTGGTTGACATGATGATGTTTAAAATTGTTTATGCATCATGATAAAAGTTGGATATGCACTATTTTTAGCAAGACTACTTTTAATGCAGTGCATGTAGTAGATTCTATATTGCTGAACTACTGTCTTCTACCATTATACTTCTTTATTTAACCAATGAAATATGAAATACACAAGTGGATGATGCAGTGTTAGATTTCAGTTTGAGCCACTATTCTTAACTAAAATTGATATGTCCATTACTTAAATTCCCCACCCCCTCCCAAGTTTCATGTTCAAAACCTTCAACTTCACTCAAGCCATCTGATTTTAAGGTTTAGTGAAGAAGTTCACTGGTTTATAAAAAGCAATAGAAGACTGATTAATTATCTTTTCCAAACAAAACTATTTACTGAATTTAAGCGCTTATTGTGTATGTTATTTTGTCAAATATGTTTTCATATTGATTAAAGTCCACCCAGTTTGCTATAGAAATACCTCAATAAGTCATAGATTCAGAGTCGACATGTTTGCAATAGAAATAGCAACTGTAGAAATGCATTTGGATTATTAAAGGCTGATTAAATGCCCTTGGGGCATTTAGATTTGCCCTTGTCTATCACACTGTCCATCATGTAGACTGGCAAAACAAAGGAATTTTATGGTAACTGGTCCAAGGACGCATTTCTAGTTATATATTCATTTGTGTATATATTCATTTATTCGGTATAATAGTTTGTTCATTTATTCGGTATAATAGTTTGTATGTGGAATTTTTTATGAATTTGATTGTAATTTATTCATAATCTTTGAGAAAAAATGTTGAATTAACTAATTCTGTATCTTAAAACCTCAGCATTCATTCATATACTTAAGCCAGTATTGATATTTCATATGGAGAACCATTCTTACTATAAATTGACTGTGTCACTGTTTTTTGTTTTTCAGGATACTTGTCATGGTATAACACAGATTGTTGTGTCATTGGCAGAGAACCATACAAAACTAATCATAGACAGTGCAAGTGGGGATGATGAAAACAAAAAATCTGATATACAGAAGCTTATAAGCCTAGTTCTGGTAGGATTTCTTGTAAATGCTGTAAAATAACTTGGACCTGCCAAATGTTTGAAAAAGATATAGCCCCTTAACTGATGGAAAAATACAGAAATTTGTCTTCAGGGCTATAATTTTGAAATGGCTTACAAATTTGATACCATTCTGTTGTTTATGTTAACATATAAAGGCAAGTAAGGTGTTTACAAGTGTACATGAATCTGCTTTCAAAACTTACTCAGAACTACATGCACTATAAAGTAAAGAAAATGGTACAAATATTTTTTAATGAAAAAATTTTGAATATGTTTGCCCATCATACTGATTAAAGTCTTTAGTTTTTCCTTTCCATAATATTTCTAGAATAACTGTATCAAATTTGCTGGATTGTTTTCATTTTCACATGTTAATAATGTCTATTTACAGAGTTGTTCAAGTATTCCAGGACATTACCCAGTAGATGAAACGTGCAGTAGTATGACCTTCACCTTCTGGTATATACTTCAGGTAAGTTGTATTACCCCACCTTCTAGTATATACTTTCTGGCAATTATGGCCTGCATGTGGTGTAATTCATACTACCTTACTATTCTGCATAGCCATTCTGATACATATTTGTTATTCATACATTTAATTTTCCTGTCATCATTGGTAGATTTACTTGTCATACTAGTTTTGAACAATTTCAGGACAATTTACAAGATTTGGATAGTGACAAGTACCAACTATTATTGCCCATGTTCCAGCCAGTATATCTTGGCCTAATAGAAAACCTTCTTATCAAAGTACAGTTCCCAACAGAAGAAGTTTATGAAACCTGGTCTGCAGGTATGACACTATAATATTGGAAAACTACTTTCCTGTAACTTATATATATATGAACTTATAAATGAGAACTGAATTCATTTAAATATGATATATTAGAAAATAAATCTAATTTGCAGGAGTGTGACTTTTTAAGACATCAATATTTGATGAAAATGATTATTTTGGCGTCTATTGAATCAAATGACCTTTGTTATTTCATTGCCTTTGACCTTTGACTTTTTGCCTGTTACAGAAGAGAAAGAGCAATTTAGATGTTACAGACAAGATATAGGCGATACAATGGTATGGAATTTTGATTAGAATATGCATCTAAATTAATTATTTTGTCCTTGATTTTCCAGCGAAACAGATTACATTTTAGAGCATTTTCAGTAACATGATTACATGCAATTGATTCACATTTTTCTTTGGAGGAAAAAAGGGTTTTACATAGATCTGTATCTGGAATTACTGTTGATCATTATCTTTACCCGTTTTAACTGGTTGAGGTTTTTATGTGTTTTAGTTATTAAAGAAATTTCTTTCTTGAAAGATTCAACTTAAATAGTGACTCTTGATATTCATATTTTTTAGATGTATGCGTACAGTATACTACGAGAACCGTTGCTAGGATACCTGTGTAATGCTCTTGCAAGTCTAGTTAAAACTGACAAGGAACTCAATGTACGCTGGGAGGTAAGAAATAACTTCTTCTGTATAAAACAGAATTATTCAATCTTTAGTTTCACTATTGAAAAAAAAACTTGATAATAAGAAAGAAAGTTTTGAATGATCAGGGTTTTTTTAATTTTGATAGTAAAATATGTGTGATAATTTTGTCTAAAATTGTCCGACGGTGATGATATTGATGATTGTGAGGATGATGATGCTGTTCCTTATGATGATAATAATGATGACATCAATGTGATGATAATGAAAATTACGATGATTGATTTTAAATACTAATTTAAACAATTTTTACTCATGACAGAATAATAGATTTTATTGATACCATTTAGCATTATACTAGTTCCCTGAATCTCATATCACTAAGCATTATGCTGGTTCCCTGAATCTTATATTTATTAATTTTTGTGATAATTTGACATGGAGGTTGATGATAGTTTAATAGCTATGTCCAAAATTATATTGCACAGAAATTATCATTTCAGTTGATGGAGGCAATATTTTTCCTGTTTAACTCGGTAGCAGAGAGTGTTGACTTGGAGGAAGGAATATATCTACCATCTGTACTAGAACTCTTGCCTAAACTACCATTTACCAATGTGAAATTCATCTCTACAGTTTTATACATGTTGGGTAGGTTATACAATTAAATCCATTGCTGCTTTTTAAAGAAACTTATTCTTAATTTTTGGGAGATATTTTTAACAATGGTACCTTACATCTGTGGATTATTCTTTTGTCTATGAACAGTTTTCATTTAAAACTAAAGCTATGACATTTTCAATTTTGCTGTCTTGCGTGTTCTTTTAGGTTTCCATCTGGTCTGTTTAACAAATGTAGTTCATACAGAATCTATGTTACTTTGATTATGTATTATGCTATGAGCTTATACACAAACTCCTGAATCTGTTCCACAAACTTACCATTTATCAACTTGATAGGGTCATTTATCTCATTCAGGATCTTTAATGTAAAAAAATTACACTGATACTTCTTCAGGGTCATTTGGTGAATGGATGAATTGCCACCCACAATCGTTACCATGTGCAATACCATTATTACTCCAGGGCCTCAGTAATCCTGAGGTTGCCATGGCAGCAACCATGGCCCTTAAAGATGTTACTAGGGAGACTTTAGAACACATTCAGCCATATGTGCCACAGATACTACAGGCCTGCCAGGTACGTGTTTTACTGTTACAGTCTGCGGTTTATATTTATTTGAAAAACTTGGTTCATGTCATTTTTAAGCTCCAGTCAGAAAAGAAGTAATGCGAGAAAATCAAGAGCAGCCGAGAGAGCACCCATATGTAGGAGAGGAATTAACTCTGCTGTCAGGTCACCTTGTGTCTTTGTTTAGTGAGTTTGAGTCTGTGACAAAAATGATAGTAATTATATCTATAAATTTCATGTTGGGTAATTACCTTGTAATCTTGGTTGAAAAACTTTTGAACTGGTGCTTGAATTGCATAAAATTTAGAGGTACATTGTATGTTTTACATTTTATACAAACCTGTATATATATTATATGATGTAGGACATAAATTAAATTTGTATCTCTTTGATTTTACTTGGTAAAAAAGAAATTTTCTAGCTCAGTCTCAGATTTCAAGTATATGATTGGTCATAAACCAACAAAAAATGTTAACTAAACAATTAAAATCTTGAGATTTGAGACAGAGCTCAGAAAATTGATTTATAAACTTGGGGCCAGGTCACATTTTGGGAGGCCTGTCCTGCTTAACAAAATCCACTCAAGCTTGAGAATGAATGTAAATTTGTTTATTTGTGTTTCAGGCTGCATTGGAAAGAGGAAATCTGAAGGTATGTTTATTTATAAACACCTTGTAAAAAAAGTTTGAAACCTGTGTGATTTTGTGTGAATACATGATTTGGTAATTATTTAATAATAATTATGTAACATATAACATATAATAATGCTCTTGCAATTATTAGGTTTCCTCCCTCAAAATGTACAGTTTAAAACAGTTTACTATTCAAACATTTTGTTATATGTACCAGTCTGTGTTACCCTGGAGCCCCCAGCCCCAAGGGTAATTGCAGGGAATAGCATGGTGGAAGAGCAATAATGTTACCTTATATCTATTCACTCACTGCCAGGTGGTTATGTTTTGCCATCAAAAACAGAGAATTCCAAATGGCAAGTTGACAACAACAGGAAAATATATATGTTTCATTTGTTTTAAGGTCACATGAAAATATACATGTTTTGTTTGCTTTGCAGTCACATGAAAATATAAAAGTTTGTTTTGTATTTCAGTCACGTGAAAATATACGTATTATGTCATGTATAGGACAGGTGTTATCTGTATTACCATACAATGATATCATGGGACATCTTGATCCTATCCTAACACCACTGATACAAGAACTTGAGCAATTATCAAAACAACAGGTAATGTGAAATGTTTTTATGCTCCCCGAAGGGTGAGCATATAGTTGCCACTTTGTCCATTTGCACTGCGAAAAAGACATGGATATACGGAAGTGTACGGAATTCCGTATATCATTAATATACGTGTAAGAATACGGGAAACTTGAAATACGGAGATGTACGGGGATGTAC